CCCCAAAACCCCAAAACCCCATAAGATTGAATTTGAGAATTTATGAAATTAAGAATTTAGAGAAAAGTAAGTCTCAAATGATTTTCGAACAATTTTTATAAACCAAGCAGAAAATATCATGATTAAATCTCGTTTTAGCTTAATCACTTCTTTCCTGAGCCATATTTAGCATTTTTACTTGTAAACTTCTCTTGCTAGACACTATTAGGAGTGTGATAGTTGCTTGTTTCAAATGAACTTTTCCTAAAGTTAATGGAAGATAAAGTTAAAGCAATAGCCTGATTTAATTAGTCATTATATTTCTTAATTCTTGGATTTTGTGGATGTTTTATTGTAGCCAATACTTTGACATCAATAGTTAAAGGTTTGTTCTAGTTATTATGATTTTAATAATTTTTTGGCTGGTATCCACCTACCTAGCTTTAAGTCTCAGAATTTTAAAAATTTGAGACTTTTCTTTTTGTCAGTTATCTTAGTAGCTTTTAGATTTATAGATTTCCTCTCCTATCATGCTGATTGTTTTACCTCTCCTAAGTAAGTAACCTAATCAATTGATCATCGTTTAAGTCATCAATCTTCAATAGATTATTTTCTGCGAAGGTTATTTTCGCCTTGATTCCATCCTCTAATTCCTAAAATGTCTGAACAGCATTCACTGATTTTAAGTCCTCGTTTTCTTTGAAGTTTCTAATGTTTCTACTAGGACTAAGATGATTTATCAATCTTAGAGGTGACTTTTTAGCTCCGTTTATCTTAGCTTATCTCACGATTTATCCCATATCTACCTATGATTTACAATGAGGATTCTTCAAAGCTTTAGGCTTTTTAGGTCTATTCTCAATCGTCTCTTCAAGAATTTTTAAACTGTATTTCTATTTAGCTTTTTATTACATTGGTGTCAAATCATTAGTCTAATCCTTGTTTAAGTTATATGCTATTTGTTCCAGATTTATACTCACATTTTAATTTTTCTTAGTTTGTCTCTTGGCTACTTTAAGCTCATACACCTACCTTTAGGTTAAGGCAGATTTAGAGTCTCCGTCAAAGAATGGCAAGAGCTATGCATTTTTCATTTTATTGTTTTCTGTTTGCATTCTTGGTGAGGGTAGCAAACTCAATGATACATTACTCAAAGGTGAACCATCTCTTATCTATAAAGGGTTTTAATTCTGATAAATTCCATTTCTATAGAAATCTACTGCTTTCCTTAGATTTTATATGCCTAAATGTGCTTTGATTATCCTATTCTAAACATCAATATCATGCTATTCAATTTTTATTGAATCAAACTAATCTATTATGTTTTTGATCTTTTTAAATGATTCCTTGTAAGAATCTGTACTTAGATTTCTGTTTGACCCAAGACCACTGTAAAGATCTCTAATTTTAGATTCTTTTTTCTCAAACTTTCCTCTCATTGCTCTGTCATTATATTACTAGGATTTCATTAATTCTCCTAAATAGTAATTCTGAATGCCTAACTACTCATATGCTCTTACTTCCCAACCAATATCATCGATTCTCCAACAAATTTCTAATATCTTTTTGAAACATTTAATCGCATTTTCATAGTCTTTAAGTTGACTGTAGCATTTCCCCATGTTATAATAGGCTTGCATTTTATTTTTCATATCGCTTTCATCATTAGCAATATTCCTAAGGATCTTAAATATTTCCTTGGCCTTATTAAATTCGTCAAAATAAAGAGCAACTTAAGACTATATATCAAGAGTTCTTTTTAATAGCTCAATGTCGTAAGCATACTTAGCCAAAGTAATTATCTCATCCAAATGATGATAACATTGTTTAGAATCTCTTTATTTAAAGTAAAAAAAGGCATACTTTCTCTCGAATTCTATTCTACTGAAGTACTCTCTCTTGGCTTGATCTAAATCATTCATTTCTTATTTATTTATGGTTACTGTCTCCAGCATATCTCTTGAGATGTCCATATCTTTCACTAGCATCTTATTACTCACCATAAAAAGACTAGCTTAGTGCTTGATGATTTCTTTTATTTTGTCTGAAATTGACTGATTCTAATCATTTTTCGTTCCTACATAGGATGAAGAGTTATGCCCTAAGAGTGGCTAGTTTTACTGTACTATTTAACTTAATGATTACGGAATGAAATTTCTTGATCTTTAATTACTTGCCTGGAATATTTTGCTATTTCAGAGTGGTGAAATTGACTCTTTATTCTATATATTATTTTTAGACTAAAAGTCTTGTATCTGTTAAGATTTTAATGATTATCTGTTCTAAATTTTCTCAACTCCATCAGCTACTTAAGTATGATTCATCACACTTTGCCTATTAATCATATTTTTGTTAAAATAGTTTTTCTTTTACTCAGAAGCAAGTACTGATTTATTTGATTCATCATCAATTGTTTGTAGACTTTATCTTTGCTTTGATAATCTTTAATGTTTCATTTTATCATTTATCAGTTGTAATCTCTCAGTAAAGCCTTTATATTTTTCTTTTTCTGTTAAGTTAATATCTTGACCTTAATTTAGAACTCTACTAGAATTTATATAGTCTAACTATTAGCCTTTGGTTGGTGTTCAATCATAAAATGATTTCTAATCTAGTTTTATAGAAGAATTTGATATCCTCTCTGCCAATAGATTTTAGACGCCATCAGAAACTGGAAGTTTGTTAATTTGTCCTAATAGTAACAATTTTTGCTATTTGATATTTTTGTCTATTTTTTCTAATCTCAAAGTTTTTCTTCTTTTCATCAGTTTTTCATTCTCTTCCAAATTAAGATTGGCGCTTTTGCTTTTATTTAAAACAAGATTTATCTTATCAGTTACATCTGCGGATGATTCTTACTGAATTTTGTTCCTATATGTAGAAATACCTTGGAGTTATATTTATTGATTGAAAAAGTTCATTAATAAATTAAAAATTATAACATTATGACATTTAATTAAGTAATTTCAAAATGCAAAACAATTCAAATAGCAAATAAAACAATAACAAGAGTAGTACTCTATCGAACGACTAGATTATTGCAATAAACGCTTTAAGAAGGAAAGATAATTCGCAATATGTTGAAAGACATAATTAAAATAGCTTTCAAATACCTCACAATGCAGCTCAAATCAATGTGACCGAGCATAATTAGCCTGATGATAAAAACAGTGATAGCAAAAAAATAAGAAGGCTAAGACAAAAAAAGCAAACTGATGTTGGTTAATTAGGTATGGCACCTTCAAGTTAGCAATCTCGAAATTCATAATATAGAAGATAGTTTTATAACAAAGCATCAGCTTAAAGAAGATCGTAAATTTATTTTAAATTCTTCTAACAATCATAGAAAGAAAGAGGAATCGAATCTCAATTTTAAAAGGTGGCTTCTAACACTTGTTTCTGCAGCAAATGTTTTGTTAGCATTGCTTATAATTGTGATGGGATTTAAGGCTTCTTAGTATAATTTCAATGATTTGCTGGTAGTTGACAAAGCCTTGATGGCATTGGGAATTTGGGTACTTTTAATATCTCTTGTCAATTTATATGGTAATTTGTAAGGACTTAAATGTAGTTTAGGTCTTGGAAAAGAAAGTGATGAAATCATGCTTTTTGTTTTATACAACTGTGTTATATCTTTCATTCTTTTGTCTATATTTGCAATCGGAGCTATTTCATTTTCAGATAATCTTGATGACTGGATAGGACGGCACTGGGACGAAATAAGACAAAATGTTCAAACATACTCCATGACAGACTTTAAGTAGCATGTAGCTTCTGAATTAGTATCTTTGGGTGCTTTCGCTTTCACCATAGATCTTTCCCTTTTCATTATGATATCAACGATATTGCTCATTCAAGGTGTTGAGAGAGTTATGATAGTTCTTTTCCCACTAACTAACTTGATTTTTATTATATTCTCAATGGCGATATTTGCAGTTGCATTTAACTTTAATTCTCATTCATACTATTCATCAGCAATGCCTATGGGAGCAAACTATGCACTCTTTGTGATTTCAATTTTTGTGTTCATTATTGGAGTAATTGGTTACAAGTCAAGTACGACTGGAAAAATGGGTTACTTGCAAACTTACATTTTAGTATTAGCATTTAGTGCTCTGCTTAGCGCTTTCACAGGTGTATTCATGATTCTTAAAACTGCTACAATAAAAGATACAGTAAATAAAGAGTGGGATGAAATTTAAGAAAGACTAAAATCAGCCGGCTATGACATAGAATAAGGAACATTTTCAAATTTTCTTGAAGTAAATCTAAAATTCGGAGGACTTTTCTTGATAGTCTTTTGTTTGTTTCTAATTCTAGGACTAGTGCCAGTTTACATTAAATTTCTAATAAAAAGAAGAGGTGAAACCTAACATAAAGGTACTGGCGGAGGTACTGGAATATTTTCAACACCTTATAGATTAAATAGTGATTAGACATCCCCGAAATTAAGACGTCATGTATCTCCTAATGAATCAGAGGCATGAAGTTGATAATGACACTTTTTTAATTCATAGTATTTTTTTAAGAAGCGCTATATGCAATAAAGTACTAGAATATATATAAAATTATAAACTCTTTTACTCTTGAATTAAGAATCAAGGGGTTTTGGGGTTTTGGGG